CTGCATTTCCAGGATAAAGCCACCTTGATCATGGTGGATAAGCTTTTTGATATGTGTTTGTATTCAGTTTGCTAGTATTTATTGAGGATTTTACATCTCTGTTCATCAGGGATAACGTCTATAGTCTTGTTTTGTTTGTTGTATCTTATCTGGTTTAGGTATTAGATTAATACTGGTTTCAAAGAAGAGATTTTAGAGTTCTTTTTCTTTCTTTTTTACTTCTTTCTTTTTTTGTAGAGTTTTAGGAAAGCTTGGTTATAGTTCTTTCAAAGTATGATAGATATCTGTTTTGAATCCATCTGGACCTGGACTTTTATAGTTGGAAATTTTTTAATTACAATTTTAATTAACTGCTTTGTTGTGGGTCTGTCTAGGTTGTTGGTCTCTTCTTGATTTAACTTTAATATTTTGGTTGAATCAAGAAATTCATCTGTTTCTTTCATATTTTCCAACTTAAGGAATGAAGTTTTTAAAGCATTCTCTTATTATATTGTGTATTTCTTTGGTGTCTGTTGTAATGTTCACTGCTTGTTTCTGGGTCATTGCTTGCTTTCTTTTTGTTAAGTGGGCCAGGAGTCTGTAGACCTTGTGGATCACCTCAGAGAACCAGCTCTTAGAGTAATTGACTCTTTGTATTTTTGTTTGTTTCTGTTTCTTTGATTTTATCATTCTTTGCTATCTACTGGGTTTAAATTTGGTTTGTTCTTGTTTTTCCAAATTCTCAATTTGTATCATTAAGTCATTTATTTGTGCTCTCTGATTTTTTAATGTAGATGCTTAGGTCTGTAAACTTCCTTCTTAGAACTATTCTTAATATGTCCCAGAGACTTTATTGTATTGTGCTTCATTTTCAGTTAGTTCCAGGGATATTTTGATTTCTTCTTTGACGCACTCATCATTTAATTTCAATGTTTTTACAATATCTTACTTGACTAGTGCATTTACATTTCTACCCCTCCTCATCCTCCCTCCAACTCCGCTTGTCCCTCTACTTCCTCTCAAATTTATGACCTCTTCTTTAACTATTGTTTTGTGCATATACATGTGTACATATATGTACATACATACACACACTCACATTCATCCTGCTGAGTCCATTTAATGTGTATTTGTTTAGGGCTGACCACTTGGGATTGGTAAGTAATCTGTCAGTAAGTAGGCTCATCCCTAGAGAAGACTGATTCTTCCTTTTTCAGCAGCCATGAATTGCCTTAGCTCTTCATCTAGAGGTGGGGCTTGTGAGAGTTCCCCCATCCATGTTGGAATGTCAGCTGTTATTATCGTTGCCCAGGACTTGTTTATGCAGCCAAATTGTTGTGATTTCCTGGGTACAGCTTCCTTGTCATATAGAAGACATAGTCTCCCAGCAGACACCCAAGTTCTCAAGCTCTTGCAGTCTTTCTGTCCCTTCTTCTTTTTCCTGAGCCTTAAAGGTAGGGGTTATATTGGAGATGTATCAACTGGCTTTGGTACCTCATGGCCAGTTGTTGCCTGAATTTTAAACAGTTGTGAATTTCTGTAATGGTCTCATTCTCTTGACAAAAGAAGCTTCTCTAATGAGTGATGAGCTACATGTATCTGTGGATGTAATCAGTTTAGGAAAACAGAAGTAGTAGGTTCTTCTCTAGGTTCCATGACCTCACCAGCTGTGGGTAGTTGGTTAGGTTTTCAGTACAAGCCATGGATTCCTTCCTGTTGAGCAGCCTTAACTCCAGTTACACTGCTTTCGTTGGCCTCTAATGGGTGCCACTATTACACCCTTGGGAATATCTTGTCATGCTCGTCATTGCCTGCTTTGCAGGCTTTATAACTGGTAGGACTGTTGTGTTCTCCTTTGGCTGTTGCATAGCACCTTTGGATATTATGAGAGCAAGTCCTCAGGGAGGAGGCTTTCAGGTCAGTTACAGGTTGATTCCTCCAAGTCCTGTGTCCAAAGTTTTTGTGTCTTCAGCAACGGGATCTTCCCTTCAAGTTCTAAGGGGCAACTAAGGGCAAGTGTTAATAGCCTGTGTTAGTTAGAGGGAGTCTCTTCAACTACCCCTACCAACAACTAGAAGGAAGGTTCTCCAGGCCTGACGCCTAGGTTTTTGTTGGATAGTTATGGCTCTTGGAGGGGGCATCACACCAAGTGGTGTAATTTAATTTGAACCACACATACGTGTGCACTTGTGCGCATGCACATACACACACACACACAAAAAAAAAAATTATGTATAAATGTATATATACTCTTAAGTAACCATAAAATAATGTTTCCCTCTGGTTTTTCAGACATCTTCAGTGTTACTTATCCCTTTTCCTTTTCTCCCTCTTTCTCAGTATTGTCCTCCCTCTCTCCTCCCAGTAAAATGCCCCAGTTGTCCTCCTCATAGCTCCTCTTCTCATTCCCCACAGAATGCCTTCCTTACATTCATCAGTTAGCACCTTCACTTTTTTTTCTGGACTATGTAGTCAGAAACTGAAGGTGTATTGGTGTTTATTTAATCCACAAATTATGTAGGAGAAGAGAAGAATACTCTTTCCTCTAAGGCTTTTCTAGTTAAATAATTATTATACAAGACCAAATATTTGTTTGCCAGATACTGTAGTAGGCCCAGGAAATGACAATGTCCAAGTATACAACCATGCTGCTTTCTAAAACTGTGTTTTTATGATATTGGTTAGTTCTATTCATTTGTTCTTAGAATTGCCAAATTTAAAAAGTAAGAAGTAGAAAGTTAATTTTTTATTGATATCTGTGAACAAATTAATGTCCTTAATCTATAGGTGGAAATCAGTCTAGAGTCAAAATGGCTATCATGCTGATCCGTTCAATCCAGACTTGTAAAATCCTAATACCAAAGCAGCTGACTGTAATGTTATTTTAAGAAGTCTGCCTCGTATTAGTTTGCTTTTAAATATATGGTTATCTTGGTATTGCATAGTCTAATGAATGGGACAGGTATTGAACAAGTGTATATTTCATGTTTTTATAATTCATACATTGCAATGATTAGTGAATTCTGTTTTATTAAAGTACATTGTTTCAAGTGTTTTTCTTAAAACATTATTTTTTCCCTCCTATCAGAGATGTTTCAAAACCAGAAAGGTACAGTGGAGACAATTTAATCTACAAACCACCAGGGGTGAGTTGCTGTTTCACAGTATGCTTAAGACACCATATTTAATACATTTAATATTTATTTAATACATTTAATAAATGCTAGGAGAAGTACTAGTGATTGAGCACAAGGCCTGTGTATGTCAGGCAAGTGCTCAGACACTTCTATATCCTGGCTCTTTCCTATTTGTGAAGCAGGGTCTCACGAAGGTGCCTGGGCTTACTTGAACTTGAGACCCTCCTGCCTCATCCTCCAGAGTAGTATGGATTAAAGGCTTGTGCTACCATGACTAAGTGATGTAATTTTGAAAAGTGTCCTGGTCTAGTAACCCATGTTCAGAGTGAAGGTTGGGCAGCAGCAGCCTGAAGTCACAGACCTGCAGTAACATTGGAGTCCCCTGGCTCCAGTTCTCTTCTCGCCCTCTTCTTGCACTCAGTCTGGGAGGCAAATGTTAAAGATGCTGAGCAAGCCATGTCGGCCACTCCTTTGCAATGCTTCTGCCAACCCCCAGACCTGCTGGGAAATAACTTAGCTTTTTGATAGTAAAAGCACTTAGGTTGTTTTCAACTTGGCAAGTTATTTTCCCTTTCTTCTTTTTTCCTGAAAGAAAAAAAAATAGATATAGATAGTATTTTTTTAAGATTTATTTGTTTATTATGTATACAGTGTTCTGCCTGCATGTACGCCTGCAGGCCAAAAGAGGGCACCAGATCTCATTACAAATGGTTGTGAGCCACCATGTGGGTGCTGGGAATTGAACTCAGGACCTCTGGAAGAGCAGCCAGTGCTCTTAACCTCTGAGCCATCTCTCCAGCCCATAGATAGTATTCCTTAGGAGAATTTTATATAATGTTGTATTTACTCCCTGTGACACCAACTTTTCCCAGATCTATTCCCCCCTTCCCTACCCATTCAACTTTATTTTCTTTTCTTTTCTTTTTTTTTTTTTTAAATCCATCAAGACCAACTTAACTATTCTTAGGTGTGTGACCTTTCACTAGAGTGGTTGACTTAGCAGGGACTACACTCTTGGAGAAAACTAGCTGTCCCTGTAGTTATTGGTTACCAGTAACTCAACTGATGGCATGGGATTGTGTTCCAGCTCCCCTCCCCATGTAGGATTCGGTCTGGTTTGGGCTTACACAGGTCTTGTGCATGCTGTCACAACAGCTGTGAGTTCATGAGTGCAGCTGTCCTCTGTGAACAGAAGACGCTGTTTCCCTGTGCTCACTAACCCTCTGCTTCTGACACTCTCTCTGCCCCTCTTCTGCACTGATCCCTGAGTGAGCCTCGGGAGGAGAGATGCACTATATATGTTCTCTTTAGGCTGAGCATTCCATAGTTTCCTATTCTCTGCACCTTGGCCACTTGTGGGGCTCTGTGTTAATCACCATCTATGCAAATAAAAGTTCCTTTGCTGAGAGCTGAGAGCTGAATCATCTGTGGGTGTAAAATGATGAGTTGTTAAGAGTCAGTTTAATACTGTGTCTATTAGACAGAATAACAGTGGTAGGTTCTCCCCTTGACTAAGTTTTGTTTTTAAGTGTGTTTAAACATTGCAATAGTTGATTTTGCCTGAGTAAATGGTAGGAACAACTAAGAAGCAAAATTTCCAGGAATGTTATCTCAAATTGACATAAATGTCTATCAGTATGAACGTTTCACATCCCAAAGATAGAAACATGAATATTTTTTTCAGATCATAGTTTTGGTTTTTTTTATTGTTGTTGTTGTTTGTTTTTTGGGTTTTTTTTTTGTGTGTGTGTTTGTTTGTTGAGACAGGGTCTCTCTGGTATGTAGTTCTGCCTGTCCTAGAACTCACTATATAGACTGGGCTGGCCTCAAACTAAGATCCACCTGCTTCTGCCTCCTAAATTCTGAGATTAAATTACACATCACCACACCTGGCCAACATCACAGTTTTTATTTTAATGTGTTTATAATGTTTTGTCACTAGAATTAATTTTTATGTAGAGAAATAATTTATCATTACTTTTGTAGCTCATTTTCAATTCCTAATTCAGACAGCATTTGAATCCATTTTCTATCATAATATCTAAGGTGGGTGCTTAAGAAGAAAAGAGGCTTTTTTTACTCACACATGAGAAGCTCAAAGTCCAGGACCTGGGGTGGGGTGGTCCTTTTGTTTGGTATCCTTAAGGCTCCCTTGAACTGTCAGAGCATGGTGAAGGAGTAGAAAGGAGAAAGATGTACGAAGTGGGCTGCGTGGTGAGAGGAAACCGAGACTAACCAAGAGCAAATTGGCTCTTTTATGACAAGTTAATCCTGCAAACTTACATTAATTCCTATGGGGGAGGCACCTCAGTGACCTGATGACTCTCCACGCTCCACCACTTAGTTAAAAATTCTATTACTTCTTGAATCGTCACATGGACCAAGTTTCTAGCTCGTGAACTTTTAGAGGCCACACACAAGCTGTCTTCAAACCTGGACATGTGGGCATTTGTCTGTTTTTTTAGGTGTGTTTCTGTAATAGCAGTTACTCAGTGTTATCATTAAGAACCAGTAGTGTCTTAAGTGTAAGGTGGGCATTCAGTGAGCATGGCCACTGGCCTTAGGCTGTGCCTTCTGGCTGTATTATGCTGGGAGTGTTTCTTAGCTTCTGAGTGCTTTGGATTTTGTCATTAATCAAAATAACATGCCGTGTGGAGAAGTAAGTGACTTATCACCAAGTGCCTATAACAGTGCTGGACACAATAAGCTTACTGAACTAAATGTTAGTTTTTAAATTATTTTCTGTGCTTTGTGAGCTCTAATTTTGAGTGGAAACAGTCACAGGTGATTCTTACTAGAGATGTACTTTCTACATCTCTAGTAAGATTTCCCAGCATTTTTTCTTTTTCAAAGTGTGTTTGACTGTCCATTTTCTAACGACATTTTCTATTAAAAGGAATAGCTTAATTAATGCATTTAGGTCATTCTCTTTATATAGCTGCCTGACTTTGATGAAACTGATGATAGATAATTGTCTTAAATCTGAGGGGCAGGGATCTTTTATATCACAAGTTAGATTACCAAGTTCCCAATTAGCACAGATTTGTCCTTTTTTAAAAAGGATAAAACTATTACCTTCTTTCTTAGAAATTTATATTTGATGTTTCTGAGTTAGTAGATGGATTTTAAAATGTGTTTTTTGCCTGCAAAGGTTACAGTAATCTTAATTCTTATTTCTGTTTTTGTAACAGCGTTCTGTGCCAGACATGGTGTACTTGGGATCTATGACGAATTTTGATGTAACTTACAACTGGATTCAAGACAAATGTGTCCCTCTTGTCCGAGAAATAACTTTTGAAAATGGAGAGGTATGGACTCCAGTGTGGGTGATTTTAATTCAGTTGTGTGAAAGAACTCATTGCTTCTGTTCCCATGCTGTTTCGAGTCACCAGTTGTGAGAGTCATACATTGGGCACACCTGTGTCTTAGCTGTTTTCATAGTGCATTGGCACTGGCTTCACACCTCCCCTATTCTAGAATCCTTGCATTTCTAGTAATAGCAACAGCTGTTAGTACTCTTGAAAATGAACTTGAAAGTAACTGATGTGCTTCTGATAGCCACCATTGGGGAAAAGTCTCTGTTTAAGGGGACACCTATTAGAGGGACAGGTCTTAGTGACTGTAGGCAGTCCTTTGCCAGTAGAGGTTTTTCTAGTTCCTGCCTATTCTAAAAAAAAAAAACACAAAGAAACAATTGAACAGTTATTCTGAAATCTTTTTCATTTTGTTCCTGTCCTTAACTTTGAGAACAAGGACAGATTAGACTCTCTGTAATAATAGTTCACCAGATGAATGGATGTCTGGTTGTTTCTTGATTCCATAGACCTTTTGTGTGTTTAGCATACTTACTTTTTTTTCTTGCCTTAGCTCAAAGGCTCAAGAAGATTTGAACAGTGGTACATGATACAACGTGCTTTGGCAGTTCTTGTCAGAATAGTTTCAAAAACAGAATTTCAAAGTTGAAACCTGGAAATCTTAATTAAACATTTCCTTCCCCCTGTGGAAGTTGCCACATTTAATAACTCTCTCTTTTTTAAAATTTTCTTTATTTCTTTTATTGACTCATTGTGTGTAATGGGGGAAGAGCTTGCAAGTTGGTTCTCTTCTACTGTGTTTGGTGGCAGGTTCTCTTGTTTCTGTCTGAACTGTGTATTCCAGGCTGTTGCATGTGAGCTCCTGCAGGTACCCCTGCTTCCTCCTCCCATCTCCTTGGGAGAGGAGGCACAGATGTGTGAGAGGAAGTGCAAGTGCTTCTGCATCTGACTGTTTATATGAGTGCTAGGATGACCTTGGGTCCAGATCACAGAGCAAGAACTCTCATCCACCAAGCCATCTCCACAGGCCACATTTAATGAGTCGGAAGATGTAGTATATGTTGGAATCCACCACCCATGCATTACTAAACCATAGGAAAGCAGTTCTTTCTCTTGAATCAGGTTGTCTTAGAACCTTTCTGAATGCTTTATACATGCTTGGTAAAGAATTTGTTGGTGTAGACACAGATGGACATAGAAGCCTGAGAAGCATGAGCTACCAGCTGCTGCGTATTTCATTTTGGAAAATTCACTGCTATGTATTTCAAACTAATATCATATGTTTCCAAATCTGTTTGTTGTTTCTCTCTTAATAGTTGTATGTTCATGCATACTTCTGTGGAGTGTAATAAAGTCAGGTGACATGTGCTTTTTTTTTAATTTCCTAGTTCTTAAATATCCTCTGTAAGAAGTGGCCAGTCTTTTTCACAGTAGTATTGATTAAGTAGCACTTATTTCTTTGTTTTTTGTCCTGTGTTGCCCAGATCCTTCTGTATGGAAAATCTGGGAGCAGAACCAGGAATGAAATGAGGTTATCTGTCCTCGGGCTTGTCAGTCAGTATTTGACATGTCCAGAGAAAGGAACAACATGTGCTCAGTGCCACCTGGGGGACACTAAGGAAAGCCTGGGAATTCAAAGAGAAAATTAATTTTTCCTTTAGAAACAGGGTAGGATGGGGGTCTACTTTCATGAGGAGACCGTGCAGTCCTGAAGCCAGGGCTGAAAGAGAAAGGGATGCCGAGGAGTGTGGAAGCAGGAGAGCACTGTCACTCATTCTGCATGTTTACGATGCTAGTTAGACTTGGATATGCACAAGCGGCCAGTTGGAAACCGGCCAGTTGGAAACCGGCCTGTTAATTCTAGAGTGAGCTTTGTTTGTGCGCCGAGCTAAAGTAGCCTGTGAGCTGATGATGGAAACTGTTGCACTAGGGGAAGGTGCAAGCTAGGGCAAAGAGTACAAGAGAGAAGCGTGGATCAGTAAATGAGCACTGACAAACCGTAATCCAAGAGAGAAAAGATGAGGAAGAAGAAAATGTAAATCAAATTACCAAAAGATGAATGTAATGCTAGGAAATGGGAGCAGGGGAAGATGGGGAGTGATAGTTAATAGATGTAAGGTTTATCATTGGGTGACAAGTGTGTTCTGGAAGGAATGAGGATTTTTGCACAACCTTTTGAGTATAACAGCAGATTGTCCATTTAAAATGCTGGATTTTTGTGGATGAGAGTTATCTCTCAATTAAAAGAAGGGAGAATATAATAAGCTTAATTATTTATCCAAATATACAAGTGAAACAAGTTTAAATATGAGATAGGAACCAAAAGGAAGCCTTTTGTCTCATGTGATAGGTCTCGAGGATTTAAAAAATGATTAAAGATAAATGATATCTGTGCTTCATGCTGAGGCAGTTTGTAAGGCCAGCTTATGTAGATAACTACATGAAGAAGACCTATCTGGACTTCTTCATACAAATAAGAAGATGGCATTTGTTAGGATTAGATGACTCAAATCTACTGTCTCAAGTTTCTTATACTCTCACATAACAAGAATACAAGTTTTAATAGCGCTTTGCCATTTTCACGGTGCCTTGTATGTGTGCATATTGAAATGACGAATGTGGAGCTTTGTCTTCATTCCTTCAAACACTTTCTACCTTTGGGTAGGTCTCACATAGTGGAATACATTGATAATACACTTTAGAATAAGCATGGATTTATGATTCAGATTTATTTATTGCTGGCACACTTGTGTTTCCAGTTTTACTTGTGAAGACTGGCAATACTAATCGATGTTCATGTCACTCCTGGATTAAGAATTGACTATAATTCTTTCTTTGCTCACCCTAACTGGCTTCATGAGGCTGCCCCTGTAGTCATATATGTAGTACTGGCTAACACAGTTCTCAACCTTCCTAATGCTGTGGCCCTTTAATATAGTTTCCTCATGCTGTGGTGACTCCCAACCGTAAAATTATTTCATTGCTACTTCATAACTGTAATTTTGCTACTGTTGTAAATCATAATGTAAATATCTAAAATATGTGACCCCTGTGGGGGTCAAAATCCAGAGGTTGAGAACCACTGGGCTAACAGATTGGCCAAGTTGAATCCATGTCTATAACAGAGCAGCGCATGTGCCTTTCCTTAGTGTTCATACCTAAGATGCAAACGGTTGAATTCCTTCATTGTTGAGTCTCGTTTTTCACACCACTAGAACCCTTTTTTCCTGATTACTTGCAATTGTTAGTTACATGGATCAAGTCCACACTTTGGATACAGCTAAACTGAATAGAGAGGCCACTGATCTTCATCAAAAACCTCTTTCTTCAGGAATTGACAGAAGAAGGACTGCCTTTTCTCATACTCTTCCACATGAAAGAGGATACAGAAAGTTTGGAAATATTCCAGAATGAAGTAGCCCGGCAATTAATAAGTGAAAAAGGTAGACTGTTTAAGGTGTTTATTTTCAGGTGTTTCATCTTTTTCTCACTACCTTTCTGTTCCTTTCCTGCTATATATTTGGCCTAAACACACTTAGGCTAAAAGTTTAACCAGCTATGTTAACATGTGGGTTTAGATATAAAGGCAAGGAAGCAGTGGAGTTATGATGTGAAGCCATATTTTCTGTGTGTTTGCTCCTGTTTTCTGTACCATGACTTGTATAGAGGGGAAAAGAACAAATGGCATGAAAAGTGGTCCTAGGTCAACAGTATTGTTTGGGGACCCTTTTCCTGGTACCTAAGTGCTTCTCTGACACATTTCCAGAGACATTGCTAAGAGACAACACACTCTGATCCACATTTATTTCTGTATGAAAGTTGAGCAGCTGTCTGCATTTCTCCATGGTATTTTAGCAGAATTTGGGGTATCAAACAGCTTCTCCTCGGTACTGAGGATAAAAAGTCAAATGATGTGAACTGGTGGCATGGTAAAGAGCTGCCTATTTGAATCATTTAGTAGACATTCTGGGTCTAAATTAGATTAAAAAAATAGCCAACTAGGCCCCAAGGGGCATGAAGATGGTCCCAAGGGAACAGTGTATGTGTTAGACTTGGGGACTTGCTGTCAGAATCTGGGGAGCCTACACAGCAGACAACTGCCAATTGAAGAAATAAAAAATTCACATTAGCATTCAAACTTGAGTGTTCTTATCATTTCTAAGGGGATTATACTCTGCCCTGAGAACTAAAAAAAAATGTGCTTCTTTTAAATATTCTGTTTAGGTTCTAGTTTTCCTGGTCTTTATTAATTTCAAGAATATTGATGTTGTTTTTTATGCTGTTTTTGAGAGTTCATAATCAGAGAATAGTTAAAATTCTAATGTAGTTCTTAATATTCTGTTTCTTTCAAAGGTACAATAAATTTCTTACATGCAGATTGTGACAAATTTAGACATCCTCTTCTGCATATCCAGAAAACTCCAGCAGATTGCCCTGTCATAGCTATTGACAGTTTTAGGCATATGTACGTTTTTGGAGACTTTAAGGATGTATTGTAAGTATCTCTTTTTGTTCTTTTTAAAATTACTGATATATCCCACAAAGTTGAATAATTGCTTGTTCGTTTTACATAGCTGTATATTGTGAAAGTAAACTCAGGGGTGGATATAATAAGTTAGAGTGGTTCCTCATACTTTCATTGTGTGTGTGCCATCACTGACTAGAGAATTACAAATGCTAGGTAACTGGGAACTAATCTCTGAAAGAAAGATTGTGTACTGTGAAAAATTTGCTTTACTCTGAGGTTAGTTTTTGCTATATCAAGGAAAATACATATCCTAGGTCAGCTGAAACATTGCTGGTAATGTTTGGTTGTTTATGATTAAATGTTGTAAGAACATTAAGGGCATGTATATACAACTCAGAATTATTCTATGACCAGGAATTTGTAATGGCATGTAACTAGAAACTTTCCAAGGACAGGTACTAATAAACATGGAAGCCTTTTGATTAATGCACAGACCAAAATCTTTCTAGCTTCAGGGATATGAAGTACAGCAATTAAAAGTTTGCAGTATTAATATATGAAAATTGTAAGCAGTACAATTTAAGTAATTCACACTTAAATATTTCTTGAACAATTCACTTAAATTTTCTAAATCTCAAAATATTCTGCAAGAGATAAATTGAAGCTTCACTGAAGTATAAGTAATCCCACATACTTCTGAATATTTCAGTAGAGATGTGAGTTTTCAGAGGTTGTGAAACCCATGTAGTATTGAGTTCTTCCTTGAGCTGGTCACTGAACTGCTGTTCTTTCTTCATGTATAAAGTAGGGTTGATAGTAACACTGCCTAAGGAGAGCTTTGTGAAGATGACTGAGATATGATGGTTGTTCTATAAGCCTTGAAGTTGTAATAAATCCTAGTAGATGGTTGTATTATAACTAATAAAGTGTGTCAAAGGTAATTTTTAATTTTACTTACACTCAAAGAGTATCATTTAACCTATTAATTCATCTAATGTTTTTCTAAGTCTTCTAAGTGATAGTAATTATGCTGGATATCAAGTGTGTAAAATCTATGACTGGGTCTTCTGGAGCCTGATGCTGGCCCCATGCTGGGCAGGTGGTGGGACTTTCTCCTGTTAGAGATGGTTTGGAGTTTAGGTCTGTGGATGTTGACCTGTTGCCTGAACCCAATTGGCTGGTTTGGAACCTGGAGGCTTGACTGGAGGCTGAGGAGTATGCAGGTGTTGGCTAAGTCTTTGGCTTACAAAGGAGCACAAAGTTAGTGGAGGAAATACTAAAAACCAGAGCATGGGTGCCAGAGAGGTGAGTCTGCAATTGCCTCTGGAGGCCCTGGGTTTGATTCTCAGCATCTACATGGTAGCTCACAACCAAACTCCAGTGGATCTAACATTTGCTTCTTGCTTTCTGTGATACACAGACACACTGCATATGAAATACTTAAAGACATCAAATTTTTTTTAATTAAGAAAATAATCAGAGCAGAAACAAATGAAATGGACTCTAAAACCATAGAAAGCCAATGAAACAAATTTTTGAAAAGGTAAATTGAAAAGCATTTATCTAGACTGCAAAAGAAAGGCTCAGTAAATAAAATCAGAAATAGAGGAGTCATTATAAATTATGTTACCGAAATAAAATGGATAAGAGTATCAGAAATAAAATGAAAAATGTGTGAACAAATTGACAACTTTAAAGAAATGAACAAATTTATAAAATTGAATCATGAATTAATAGAATTTTTGTTCCTGTAATGATGAACTATGACCTGAAAATATAAGCTAAAATAAACTTTTTTCTCCCCCAAGTTGCTTATGGTCATAATGTTTTATCAAAGCAACAAAAAGCAAACTAGAACAATATCCAAAAAAATTAAATCATTATGTCAACATGATATCTGCACTCCCACAATTTATTGCAGCATGTGGATGCAGAATCAGCCTACATCTACATCAGCTGAAAAATGAGTAAAGAAAATGTGGCCTACATACCAGGAGTACTATTCACCTGTCAAAGGAGGGAAATTCTGTCATTTGTGATAACATAGATAACTAAGGGAGATATTAAGTGACATAATGCAGGCACAGAAAGATGAATTATATGATCTAACTTTTTGAATAAGATGATTGCGTGATCTTACTGTATGAGAGTGAAATGGTGTTGAACTCAAAGAAATGAGAGTAGAATTGCCCAAAGGTTGCCCAAAGCAGGAAAAGAATTGAGAAAGGAACAAGTACAGAAGACTGGGGAAGGCTAGTCAGACTGTATTAGTTAACATTCTTATCTTTGTGATAGAATATCTGTTATAATAAATATAAAACTACAGAAAAAGGATTTATTTTAGCTTATGGTTTCAAAGAGCTCCTAGGGCTCAGTCCATGGCCACTAGATCTTGTGCACTTGGGGAAGCTGTCGTGACAGCAGGAATGGATAACAGGAAGTTCTGACCTCCTGTCAGACAAGAAGCAGAGAAAGGAGTGGACTGGGGTTCTGGTCAGCTTCAAGAGTGCAGTCCTGCAATTACTTCTCTGCCTAGGCCCCATGTCTGAAAATCTTGACACTTCACAAAACAGTGCCATCACCTGGGACCTAAGCATTCAAAACCTGAACCTGTTTGGAACATATCATACTCCTAACATACACCTAACAGAGGGGCAGAAAAAAAACGAGGAAAGCTTGATGATCATGGTAATCAAGTAGGGAGTAGTGCAAGCAGAAGGGGGCACTCAGCTACAAGGTAGAGATGAAGAAGACAGAAAGGACTGCCCAACTACATGACAGAGAAGAAGACAGAAAGGACTGTCCAACTACATGACAGAGAAGAAGACAGAAAGGACTGCCCAACTACATGACAGAGAAGAAGACAGAAAGGACTGCCCAACTACACGACAGAGAAGAAGACAGAAAGGACTGCCCAACTACATGACAGAGAAGAAGACAGAGAGGACTGCCTGACTATGAGGTAGAGAAAAAGAAAGCACTGCCCGACTATGAGGTAGGGCTGAAGCATCTGTTTGATTTGATAGTCTATATTGCAACAAGTTGCAAGTGAAGAAGAAAAAAAGCTCTTGTAAGAAACTGGCCTATAAAAAGAATAAATGAGAGGGGTGGGGACAGTTCCAGAGAGAAATGGATTACATAATTTTAGTTCTCGTGGGTGGAAAACCTAAACATGATTAAGTGCTTGTGAAGAAGAGTCAAATGGAGTAAAGGTGATTGAGATGGGGACGATGCTACTCCATGAAGTAAAGTAGAGATCATAAAGGAGATGAGAAAGAAAGGAAGGGGAATGATAGCCTTCTAACTCTGAAGGGATTGGGGGGCAGAGTTTCTTTGTGGGTTGGTTGGGGATCTTGGTGGATTGCAGCAAAAGACTGTTGAAGTTCTTGTTTTTAACTGGCAAGTAAGATCGCCTATTGAAAGGGAAGAAATCAGGCAGTTGAGAGAGCAAGGCTGTGTTGGATTTAAAAGCAGAGCAGCTTACCTTGTAATCCATTTCTTTTAACATCCAGGCATGTTGAAAGCAAACCTCCTATCACATAGAGGGCCCTCAGTTGTGTGAGCATTTACTATTGGGTGAGATCTGGCCACCCTACCTAGTTGGGTGTATTGTTTTACCCTTCCCCAAAGACTGCATGCTCAAGCTGAAAGATACTTTCAAAGAGAACACTGACTTCTGGGAGCCCACAGGCAGTGTCTTAATCAGTGTTCTATTACTGTGAAGAGACACCATGACCACAGCAACTCTTACTTAAAAAAATAAAAGCATTTAATTGAGGCTTGGTTATAGTTTCAGAGGTTTAGTCCATTGTCATCATGGCTGGGGAGGGGGGTGGTATGGCAGCATGTAGCAGACATGGTGCTGGAGAAGTAGCTAAGAGTTCTGTATCTGGATTAGCAGGCAGAGAAAGAGTTAGCCACTGGGCCTGGCTTGAGTTTCTGACACCTTAAAGCCCACCCCCAGTGACACTTCCTCCAAGGCCACACCTGCTCCAACAAGGCCACACCTCCTAATCCCAAGTACTGCTACTCCTGATGAGTAAGCATTCAAATATATGAGCCTATGGGGGCCATTCTTATTCAAACCACCACAGGCAGTAACTGTACTTAGCATTGAAATGCTCCCTGGCCAGTGTGCCAGCTTCTAGTTGTGGGTAGATCAGAGGGTTTGTGTACTTTTGATCTCTTTTTAATGAAAAACTCACTTCCAACTATAAAGTCTTAAGTTAATCTTGGAAATAGGCCTACAAGTCAACAACCAAACACCATGCCCAGCTTTTTTTTTTTTTTTTTTTTTAAATTAAATTCCTGGGGATATTGTGTTACATGTTGTGGGAGTCCTCTGAAGTCCTGTTCTACATTTCTGAAGTCAGATTAATACTGGCATTTGGAATCTCATTTTGGTGTATGAGTCCTGGAGAACCCAAACAAGCACTAGCAATCATATTACTTTAAAAAAATAACAAATGCTTTAGTTTGTTTTTATTTATGTGTGTCTATGTGTGCCATCTGTGAGAGTGGGTTACAGGTGGTTATAAGCTACTTGCTGTGGGTGCTGGGAATCAACTCAGATCTACTCTGAAGAGCAGCAAGAACTCCTAACTGTTGAGCCATAGCTCTAGCCCTTCAAATAAGAATACTCTTTATCACCTCACTCAGGCTTTTTATTCCTCAGCTGTAGCCTTCTGGACCAGAAATGGGCTGCTGGCTAAGTAGAACTAATTAGTCATCTAGGAGCATAGCATGCCTTGGGGAGGGGGGCAGGGGGAAGAAAGTAAATCTGAGCCAGTGGGAATCTTGAAAGAAACCTGGCAATGAGAACTGATCTTCTCTATACTGCAAGTGGCACATACCTTTAATCTCAACACTCGGGAGACAGAGGCAGGGAGATCTCTGAGTTTGAGGCCCACTGGTCTATAGAGCTAGTTCCAGGACAGCCAGGGCTACACAGAGAAACCCTGTTTCAAAAAAACAAAAATACCACTGCATTTGAAGCTCTGTGAAATAATTCACCTCTTTAATTTCTC